TGTGTACTAGAATCTTCTTTTTCTTTTTAAGGGGATAAGAGGTAGTCTATTCTGGAGTCAATCTGAATGACCATAGCTGAGAAGGTGGGGGGGAGGTCTATCATAGAACTATATCATATATTTTGTCGATACTCACTTCCTATTACTCCCTTGTTTCCCTTTCCCCCTCCTGCTGGTTTCTTTCCTCTTCCCCCAAAGTTCTACTTTCATTCAATATATACTAGATTCAGCATATGAAAAAAAATGTAGTATTTCGCTTAACGTGATGCTCTCCAGTTCTATCCATCTTCCTGTAAATGATATTTCATTCTTCATGGCTGAATAAAACTTCATTGTGCATACCTACATTTCCTTTATCCATTTATCTGTTGATGGACATCTAGGCTAAATCTATAACCTAGCTGTCATGAATAGTGCTACAATAAATATGGTATCTCTGTACTATGCTGACTTAGATTCCTTTGGGGGGCAGAAGTGGTATAGATAGATCACATGGTAATTATTTAAAAATTTTATCTATTTGTTTATGTGTGCATGCCTTTTTGTATGTGTGTGTACCATGTGTATACAGGTGCCCAGAGGCCAGAAGAAAGCATTGGATCTCTTGGAACTGGAGATCACAGGTGGTTGTAGGCCTGCCAATGTGGGTACTGGGAACTGAATCCTGGTCCTCTCCAAGAGCAGAGTAAATGCTCATAATTGCTGAGGCCGAGCTTGCTCTAATCCCTCACTTTTTTTTTTTTTTTTAAAGGAAATCAGTATATAGAAATCAGTATAGATTTCCAAAGTGAGGGCACTAATTTACATGGTCACCAACAGTGGATCTCCCCCACCCTAATCCTCATGAGTATGCTAGATACTCAATGCTAGGCAAGCACTATACCACTGAGCTCTATTTCCAGCCCAGTTTTCTTGGTGATGATCACTCTAACTTGGGTAAGTTACTGAGACAGGGTCTTGTACTTGGGAGATGCAGGTTACCTCAAACTTTTTCTTTGGAATTATCTTTCATACAATACCCAGATAGTTTCCTTTTTATAATCAACACCAAGGAAAAAAAAAGCTTTTATTTTTGTCCTTTTTGTGACAGGATCTGGCTATGTAGCTCTAGCTGGTCTGTTACTCATCACATAGGTCCAGGTTTTCCTCAAATTCAGAGCAGTGCACCTCCCTCAGTTTCCTGGGTGCTGAGATTACAAGCCTTAGCCACCATGCCGGCAACAAAAAAAATGTCTTTCAACACTGTCTCCCCACTTCAATCTGGTTGTTACCCTATTTATCCATGAAACAAGTTTCTCCAAATTTATCAAGTGACTATTTCCAAAATCCAAAGGGCACACTTTAGTCCACATCTTACCTGATTTAGGTTACATTTAACACTTTAACAAGTTTCCTTAATACTTTTCTTCTAGTTTCTTCCTGTTTGCCCCTTCTCAGTGTCCTCTTTCCAGAGTCCTTGCCTCATCCCATCCCTCAAATGCACGTATCCACCTCTCTAGGCCATTTTATTCACCTCTATGCTTCGCCAGCTATCTGTATGGACAGAAACACTTCAACTCTCTAGGTTTCCAACCCATATCATTTAATATTTAATCATCTAATATCCCACAGACACCTAAAATCTATTCTCCCTCTGCAAAGTAAAAAGAAACAGAATTAATATTACCCAGTTATGGAAGCCAGAACATTCATATTTCCTTATCCAATCTGTCTCCCTATCCACACATCACCATCTTCCTTAAGAGCTTCACAACTGTTCCCCCCCACCCCGCTCCTAAATATGTCCTTTCCAAAGTACCTTGCAAACAGGGATCCTCTCCCCACCCCCATCCCCATCCCCAGGGACTGAACACAAGGTCTCACTATGCTAAACATTCACTCTCTACCGTAAAGTTAAAATCCTAGACCCTTCCCAGATTAAATTACACCCAAACTGGCCTTCATCTCTTGGGGTCAAGCAATCCTCCTGCGTCGGGCTCCAGGCCGGCACTAACACTCCCAGGGCTGGCAAGCAGTCATTTTTCTACAATGCAAACATATTTGTTCACCCCTCTGCTTAGACCCTTTAAAGGCTCTTCATTATCCTTAGGATAAAATCAATTTACAAAACCTTGTGTGATCTGGTCCCTTCCTATCTCTCAGACTTTGCGTTATTACCTTTTCCTTTAGCCATACCAGGCTGTTGGCAGCTCCAGAACATACGTGCATCCCGCCCTGTCCCCGCCTCGCCCATTTCAATTCCCAAAGTCCTTCAAAATTCAGCTTAGGTAACACTTTCTACAGAAAGCGGGAGCTCAAAAGGCAAATACTGAAGGACTGAATTTCGAGACAAACTGAGAAGCGCTTTAAGGTCCAGGTGACAGGAAGTTCAAAGCAAAGAACTTGAACCTTCACCCTATTCTGGAGGTAATCCGACTCCTGAACTATTCCGCCCTTATGCGTCATGGCTGCCAGCTCCACTTTCCCAATGGGCCTTAAGTCCGATATCCACCAGCTCTGGCGCCACCAATGCTTCCACATTCAACAACGTTACTCTTTCCACTTAGTACCGCCCCAAAGCCGTGGTTAAGAAAAACCTGTGTTGCCAGCTTGCCCCAAAGCAAGATGGCTGCCAGTCTCCATTCTCCTTTCCCAAAGTGACGCTATTCAGTCCCTGCTTAATGCCGCTGCCAGGCTGCCCTCACCTAGTATGGCTGCTCCGGCTCATGCCTCGCTATGGTCTCGAAGCCGACACTAACCGGCCAGGTTCCGGGAGGCGCTGTTCAGGATGCAGCCACCCCCGCCCGCCTCTCCCCTCCCCCCACGCCCGCGGCGGCGGCGGCGGCGGCGGCGGCGGCGGCGGCGGTGGTGGCTGGAGCCCGGATGCGGCGCCGTGAGACAGGCCCGGGAGACCAGCGCGGATGGATCCAACATGGCGGCGCCGATCCTGACCCGAGAGTGAGGCGGCGGGGCGGCCGGAGTGGGGAGGGGGAGTTGAGTGGGACGGGGCGGGGCCGGGCGGGGCCGCGAAGGGCTTGGGGAAGGAAAGTGGAGGGGGAGGTGGTGGCGACGTCCAGCCCGAGAACCTCCAGAGAGGGAGGTGACGGGACGCCGCGAGGTGGGGGAGGGGACCAGCTGAGGGGGGCGTGCAGGGGAGATGGCAACTGTGGGAGAGGGCAGGGGTCGAGGCGCACGAGTGGGAGCATGGGGAGGGGCGTAAACAAGGGCCCAGGCTGGGCCAGGCCAGGGGTATTAAAGAGGCTGAGGTGGGGAGTGGGGCTGCGAATCGGCGGATCGAGAGGGTTAGGAGCTGGAAGGAGAGGTTGAGGGTGTGAAGGGGAAGGGGGCTTGTGGCATGTGGTTGCAGGGAGGACCAGACTCTTGTGAGCGTTGTTCGGAGGACAGGGGAAAGGGAAGAATTGGACTTAAAACGTTTTGTAAAGGGAGGTTCTGGAAGTGTTAAAATTGGAAGTGGGAGGGGGAAGGGCCTAGGGGAGAATTTGGGTGGAAAAGGAAAGAAGGAAGGTTTGGGGCATACAGAGAGAGTGGAGCTGTGCCGAGGTAAATGTAGAAAGTGAGACTGCGAGGAAAGTTTGGAAGGAAAGGGAGATAGGGCAGTGGGACTGCATCGGTGGTAGAGGTTTCGGGGTTTCCCTCTCCCCGGTGGAAAGGAAGACAGCAGAGTTAAGGATCAGTTGCAGCCAATTTTAATTGCCAGGCCCTTAGCTTTTAAATAGGGTGGGAAGGGCAGAAGGGAATCATGTGGGTTTGGAGAATTGGGGTTGAATGAGGATTCAACCGAATGTGCTTTCCAAAAGACTTTTGCTTACTGCTTCCTTGTTTTTCCTGATTACGAAAAGGGGAAAATAGGGAAGCTGAGGTCCAGTGTGGATGAGTAAAGGACTTTTCAAGTTGTTTAGCAAGTTAGCCCTACAAGAATGGAGAAAGACATAACTATACTGAAGCCCTTGCTTACATGCCAAGGTGGAGACTCTGGAAGCCTGAGGAGGAAATAGAGGAGACAGACTAGCATCTAGGTAATCAGGCTAATTAGATGTGCTTTCCTTTACAGACCCTTCTTTTGCTCTTTAAGTGCTAGGAGGGAGGGGGGTGTCAATACACATATATAGAAAACTGTTCCTTACCAGAACGTAGAAGTGAGTGGATGCTGCCTTAGCAGGTATTTTGTTCTCATTGTGTGCTAAAGGAAAGGGTGAAAATAGAATTTGGAGACTAGTTCTGGTCTGAAGTGAAATAAGTGCTTTCTTTGGCTATAACTGTTTTCCTCCCAATTCTCCTTTAACATTTATGTTGCTACAAAATAGACTAAGGAATTGAGGAGAAAGGTGAGAAGGTATCAGGGTAATGGGTTTTCCCAGAAGTTGTTGAATCGGGATGATCTTTCTTGCCTTGAGCCATTGAGACTGGAAATTCTTGAAATTGATACTATTTTGTGAATTGACTATCTAATAGAAAGGGAGCTTGAGATTTTGCTGTGGGTGAGTTCTCTTCTTTAACTTGGAATAGATTAGTTCAATGAATGACTAGGCTTTGCTGATTTTTTTTTTTTTTTTTTTTTTTTGCCAGTTGACATTGACTAACTTTGTGGACCTTTGAAGTTTCAAAATAAAGCTTGAAATTTGACTGTTTTTCTCCTTACTTGTTTTTGTTTTTCTGCTGGCTTTGAAACTTGTGCTAGGAAGAAACCTGGGAAATTGAGTTTCTTGCAGAGGTAAGTTAAACTTTTTACTGTTTTAAACAGTGGAAGAGAATGGAAATGGCATGAGAAATGTGTTGGAGTTGAGCCTAGTTCATAGGGTAGATACTGGGGAAATGACTTACCCAACCAAGTTCATTAAGATTTGTTGCATTCTTCAGGTAACTGGAGATAGATAGGAGGGAAAAGGGGGTGCTAGTAGCTTGGGACAAGCTTCCAGCTTTGGTTTGCTGTCGTCTTTGGTCAGCTCTGAGAGAACTGTGCTTAACCCGTGGAAAGCTGTATTCTTGCCCATATCTACTAAATATTTCCCTTGGAGAGCTGCTGAGGTATTGTCCATGGAAAAACTTTTCCTCTAGTTTGCTGTCTCTTCTAGCCATTTTGAGTTCTTGGAATCTTCTGAAAACATCCTCTGTAACTCTAACTTCCACATATATTTGGATCCCTTATCCTAGTCCCACAAGAAAACCATGTACTCCTTAGCCATCTTTAAGATTTTCCTTGTAGTTTTCACTTCAGGGTTCAAGCTGTCACTCATTTCTTCCTCATGACTTTTCTTCTAAGGGCTTCTGAGAGAGTTAAATATTTCTAAATCTCTTGTGGAAATGTGTCATTCCTGTTAAGAAACTAGACTTCCATTTTCATTTCAAGATCTTATTTCTCCTATACATCCTTCACTTTTGAGAAGTCAGAGTACTTTAAAAAGTTATAGCTCTCATTCCTGGATGGGATGAGACTAGGCGGCTTGGACATGGAAACCCATCAGGAAGAAATCCTCTAGTTACATATCGACTCTTACTGGCCCTTGGCTACCCTAGACGACCTTAAAGGAAAACAAACTAGAACTCCAGGAAATATAGCAGTTCATTGGGATAAAGAATTACTCTGGGCTAGAAAAGTAGCTCAGTGACAGAGTACTTAATCTATCCTCAAGGCTCTGTCTGGGTTTGATCCCTTGAACCTAAAACCAAAAAAAAAAAAAAGAGCAAGACTCATGTTAGTATATCACATACAGCCACCAACTAGTGGATCAACACACAGTTTACTGCTGGGTTTGTCTCTTGGTATCTGCGCAGTGTTTGAGATATCAACACTGAGTTCTTTCTAATCTTCTGTTTAGAGAGCATTCTCATCACTGTGGTATCTTTCATCTAAGAGCTCTATATTTAAGCTGAGCTCCCTTGCCACGGAAAGCTGAGTATGTTTTAAGATGAAGTTGGTGACATTCTTTTAATCCTGAAGTTAGATTCTTAGAATCCCTGTTTTGGTTGCTGAGTTAATTTACAATCCTAGATAAGTAGGGAGGGCTGCCTGCTAGCCACACGCTTTGGGGAACTTTTTTTTTGTTTTTTTTTTGAATGAGTAATATAAGTCTGATTAGTGACCTAACAAGAAAGGGTCTGCTAGTTAGTCTAGTTTCAGGACTTTATAAATGGCCCTGAGATTTAAGAGCAGGATCATTTGTGTCTGTCTTGAAGAGGATGGCATTTCTCTTATTCCCGCAGAACTCCAGATTGAACTAGGTCAAAATAGACCTCCTGGGATGGACCAGAAAGGAGTGTATCTCTACCACCTGCTATTCACCTGAATGGCAACAGCAGGTGATGGAGGAGGCTCGGCTGGGGTGAGAAGAAACTCCTTTGTGCTAGTTGAACTCATGAGTTAAATGAGCTTGTGACTGACTGGCCTTCCTTTCCTTCTGGAATGTTGTTTGATGGATTTGAGCTGGAAGGACCTAATGGGTTCTTTCTCTAGATTTAGTATGGAAAGTGGTGTGTATTCTTTTGACCCCTTCATCATGTTCCACTTAGGATTTCTCATCCTCAGCACTGTTGACATTTTTGGTCCGATGATAATTTTCTGTTGTAATTGTTCTGTGCTTTATAGGATGTTTAACAGTATCCCTGGCCTTACTGTATGCTAGTAGTAACTCTCTCTTCCTATGCATGACAATCAAAAATGTCTCTAGTCATTATCATGTGTTTCCTGGGCGGTGTGGGGCAAATTAGTTCCTGGTTGAGAACCACTGACCTAGAAGCTCTGATAATTCCTAGTTGGATAATTTAGCATAGGACTTAAAGGTGACGCTTTTTACCTGCCTCTCTCAAATGAAGGGAGTTAATTCTCAGAGGATTGAGGCCAATTGTAGAATCACATTGATATATAATTAAGACTACAATGTTTTCCCCTATTTTGCCATGTTTTTTAGAGGCAAAGTATGTGAGGCTGGTATTTCTTAATTGCTTGGGGTTTAAAGACACTTTGAATTAGGGAACTGTGGAACAACACACTCTTCTGATTGGTTGAATGTGAAACCTGCCCATCTGTTTTTTCTAGGATCCTCATAACCAACAGCTGGCCAAAGGGAACAGGTGGGATAGGGATAGGGACCATGGAAAAGTTGTAGGGGCTCTAAGGAGGCTCAGTTTTCTTCTGCCTGCTGTGAGTAAGAAGTTATTTTTCCTGAGCACCTCCATTTGTACCTAGTGACGGCAGGTGAAACCAGAGGAAGAGGAAGGAAAACCAGTCTTGTTGAATAGCTATTTTTTCAGCTGCTTCCCATGCTTTGGGTGGGATACCTGAGCTGTCAAAACCCTATGGGGTTATATTTCTTTTTCACATGCAACTCCTCTTTTTAAAACGTCACTCTGCTTCCATTGTTGGCTTACCATGGAGAGAGGACCAGAATCTATTGCTTTTTAGCTTTCCAAGTCTTCATGAGCTTGGTGGTTGTGAAGGAGCTTATTCTATTCTGTTCTTTTTGGTGCTGGAAATGGAATCCAAGGCCTCATGCATGCTGAGCTTCACTTCTACCACTGACTTGTATACAAAGTTTCTCATTTTCGTTTTTCTAGTTAGCCTAGTATCTTGGTGTATAAAATGGACAGAACAGCCTCTTGGTTGAATAAGTTGATGTGATGTGGGTAGTTCTCTGTGGTATAGAGGCAGCTCTGGCTAGTCAGACTATGTGCTTGGTGACTGAGTACCAAATGTGCTCTCATGTGCATGTGCTTCCCTCTCTGCCCCTCTCTGAGACAGGGTTTCATTATAGAGCTCAGACTGGCCTTGAATTATCTGCCTCAGCCTCCCTAGTCCTGAGATTACATGCATGTGCATAACTACCATGTCTACTTATGATGTCTATTTTTATGTATATGAGTGTATTGCCTGCATGTATGTAACTGTACCCCTGTTGTGCAGTGACCATGGAGGTCAGAAGAGAGCATCAGATCCCCTGGAACTGGAGTTACAGATGGCTGTTAGCTATCATGTGGGTGCTGGGATCCGAACCAGGGTTCTCTGCAAGAGCAGCCAGTGCTTTTAACCACTGAGCCATCTCTCTAGCCCCAAAAATGCATTTTAAAGATGGCATCTGAGTTGAATATTTTTGAGACAAGGTCTTAACTATGTAACCATCACTGGGCTAGAACTTAATACATAGCCCAGGTTGGCCTCAAACTCACAGAGATCCACTGGCCTCTGCCTCCTGAGTGCTAGGATTAAAGGCATGTACCATCATACCCAACTGAATTGACTCTTATGAGTAGGAGTTTGCTATCTGAAAAAGAGCAGTTATAGAGACGTGGAATGGAGAAAGGAGAAGGGTATTCAGGCAGAGGAACAGTCTGAAGAAAGGTATAGAGAAATGAATTGTATGTATAAACCACAAACGAGCTGTTAATGTTGAAAAACTGATGTTAATAAAAACGGGTGTGTGGTAAATGAGGTTGGATAAGTAGGCCTGATTTTGGAAGGCTTGGTAAACAATATAGGGAATTTAGAGTGTTCCTAAGGTAAGGAAAGGACTTACCCCTCTCTTGAATCCTCCACCCCAGTTCTGTTTTAGATGTGGTAGATGGAAATTAGGTAGGTTAAGACTTTGGTTGTGATGTTGGCACATGCCTGTAATCCTAGATTCTGGCAGCTCAGGCAGGAGGATTGAAAGTTCAGTACCTGTTTGGGGTACATAGCGAGTTCAAGGCCAACGTGGGCTATATAGCCACACTGCTATTTAAAAAAAAAAAAAAAGGCAGCCAGAGGCAGGTGGGTTTCTGTGAGTTCAAGGCCAGCTGGGGCTACAGGGAGACCCTGTCTCAAAAAGAAAAAAGATTGGGGTATGGAGACTTCTTAAGGAAGCCAGTTGCAGAGGTCCACATGAGAGATTTCCTGGCATCTGAACTGTGGCAGTAGAGAGAAGTGAAAGGAAGAGCAGGTTTAAAAAATAGTTTTGTATCAATAGGAATTAAGAACTGGTGGGGCAAGACACCAGGCGTGGTGGTGCATGCCTTTAATCCCAGCACTCGGGAGGTAAAGGCAGAGCTAGGTGTATCTCTGAGATTGAGGCTAGCCTTGTCTACATATCGAGTCCCAGGCCAGCTGGGACTATAGGGAGACCCTGTCTCAAAAACAGCAAAAAGCCAGGTGTGATGCATGCCTTTAGTCCCAGCACTTGGGAGGCAAAGGCAGGTGGATCTCTGAGTTCAAGGCCAGCTGGGGCTACAGGGAGACCCTGTCTCAAAAAAAGCCTGACTGGGTGATAGGAGGTTGTGGGTGAAACAGTATTGGATAGTACTGTCTGACAAGACAGTAATTGTGAATGACTAGAGAGTGAAGGTGAAAGTTGTTAGTCCTGATGGTTGGTTAATGATATACCCAGATGACTTTGTGACTCAAATGACAAATTATATAATGAATATAGGGCTCTGGTCCTTGACAGGGGTTTGTTAGGTGCCATTCTGAGGAAGGGTTAGAAATTTTTTTGTATTGTTTTGGTTTTGAGTCAGAGTCTCACTTAGGCTGGCCTCAAACTCCCAATCCTCCAGCCTCATGAAGCCTTCCAGAGTACTGATATTACAAGCATACCCAGTTTTGGTACTGAGGTTTTGAAGTTAAGGGACTTAACACAGTTACACAGCTATAGTTTGTTAATGACACAGTCAGATCTTAAACTAGTTCTGGCTAGTGGCTCACAACTGTTCATCTAAAAAGCTCCTATATCAAAGAATGAATTCTCTACTTCTCATTGTTGCCTCTGTTTAAGAAATGAATGGCCTGGTATGTTGGTGCACACCTTTAATCCCAGCACTTGGGAGGCACAGGGTGGGTGGATCTCTTTGAGATAGAAGTCAACCTTCTCTACATAGCGAGTTCCAAGCCAGCTGGGACCACAGAGAGACACTATCAGGGGGAAAAAAAAAAAAAGGTTGGGAAAGGAGAAAGGTAGAGTTTTCTCTTTTTTTGTTACTGTATTTTTTTGTTATTTCTATGAGATAGAGTCAACATGTAGCCCTGGAACTAGAGATCCTCCTGCCTCAGCCTCAGTGACAGAATTATAGGCATATACTTTCATGCCCAACAGAAAGAGTTTTCAAGAACTAAAAGCAGTGTTGGGGGGCAAGAGAAACAATTTGGATGGCATAAAATAGCAAATT